GACTGAGCCACCCAGGCGCCCTGTTTATGTATTTTTGAGAGAGAGAGTGTGCAGTGTTGGGAGGGACAGAGAGAAGAGGAGACACAGAATCCGAAGCAGGCTCCAGCGTCCGAGCTGTCAGCACAGAATCCGATGCGGGGCTCGAACCCACGAACCCTGAGATCATGACCTCAGCTGAAGTTGGACACTTAACCAACTGAGCCACCCACGTGCCCCATTAAATCAACATAATTCTTAAAGTAACGAGTCAATACAAAGAAGGCTTTGTAAAAGGATAAAAATCCTAGGAATCCAGAAATTTATATAACATAGAATGTATATACTATATATATTAATACAGTATGTTAAGGACAGGACTGACTTTAGGGAGAAACAAAGAAAATAAGAATGTCGTTAGGAAAATTAGAAGTAATGGAAATAGAAATCTAGTTTAATCCCCTTAGACATGGTAATCAATAAAATCACACCTTTTGAATAATAGTTTGGCAGTTTATATTCCTTATAATAGTGATTTCATTTTTAGTGAGTACTTCCTTTTAGGAACTAATCAGAAATGTAAATTACAGTTTTATGGACAAAGATGTTCATACTGCCCTGTTTATAATAAAGAATGGTTAAATAAGTTAGAATATATGATAGATAGTTACTCAGTTTGCTACACTCCATGCTAAGAGCATAGCCCTTCAGACTGCCTCCTCTGTTCAAGACTTTTTGACCCCAGCTGCTGCAGAAGAGTTTGGCATACTGCACAGTTGGAGAGAACAGTCCCCACAAGACTGTGCTCATTCAGACGCTGGCTGTGAACTCAGGGGTCCCTGAGGCTATTTGGTCATCACTTGACCGGGTCAAGTCTGGAGCTCCCCATGACTGTCCCCGGGTTTGGTAATTTGCTAGAAGGTTGAAGGACTCACAGAACTCGGGAAAGCTCTATCCTTACAGTTCGTTTTATTGTAGCGAAAAGGATACGACTTAGAACTAGTCACAGGAAGAAATTCATAGGCGGATTCCAAACATGAGTCTTCCTTGTCCTCGTGGATACATTACCCTCCTGGCCTTGATGTATGACAGTATGCACAGAGCGTCGCTAGCCTTGGAAACTCACTAGAGCTTTTGATGTCTACACTTTTTATTGGGACTCCATCACATACTGCCTACCTGGCTGCCCTTTCGTCTTTAGCCCTTTCCAGAGTTTCAGGCCAACCCTTTCAGTCTCCATTTCCTCTGGAAGTTGAAGTGGATGTGTGCATCCTAAAACCCCCATTATAAATTACATTATTAGACTGTTATGTGGCCAGAGCTCCCAAAGAAAGACACTTCTGGCACACAAGATACTCCAGAGGTCTAGTGATCACCTCCCAGTTGCCAAGGGCAGACAAAGGCCTGACCTTTCTTGGGGTAGAATTTATTCTTCGCTACACAGTAGTTAAGCAGTAATGAAAAGAGATGTTTACCAAAATTTGAATCACCTGGGAACATGTTTGTGTATAATATTACGTGAGAAAAATAGGATTAAAATATACATGCAGTATGATCCTGAATGTACGGTAGTATCATGTATAAATAGTGTTATGTATCTATAGTGTGGTTCGATATATAGGAAAAAGGCTAAAAGGAAGTGCACCAAAATATTAGCGTAATTATCTCTGGTGTTGGAATTATGGATATTTCCCAGATTTTCAACAATCAACATATATTATTTCATTGTCTAAAAACAACAGTCTTGGGGCGCCTGGGTGGTGCAGTCGGTTAAGCGTCCGACTTCAGCCAGGTCACGATCTCGCAGTCCATGAGTTCAAGCCCCGCGTCAGGCTCTGGGCTGATGGCTCGGAGCCTGGAGCCTGTTTCCGATTCTGTGTCTCCCTCTCTCTCTGCCCCTCCCCTGTTCATGCTCTGTCTCTCTCTGTCCCAAAAATAAATAAAAAACGTTGAAAAAAAATTAAAAATTAATAAATAAATAAAAATAAAAACAACATTCTTGGGGTGCTTAGTCGGTTAAGTGTCAGCTCTTGATTTTGGCTCAGATCATGATCTCACAGTTTGTGAGATTAAGCTGTCAGTGCAGAGCTTGCTTGGAATTCTCTCCCTCCCTCTCTTTCTGCCCTTTCACCACTTGCGCGCTCTCAAAATAAACATTAAAAAAAAAAAACAACAACAAAGTTAAAAATAATTTAAAAATAATGCATTTTAAAAAATTAAAAAAGAAAAAAAAGGATACAAAATTAGGGATAAATACTGGATTTTAAGACTTATAATCACATTTTCAAGTTCCTGAAGCTGTTATGAAATTGTTTATGAATTGTTATGAATTGTTTTTCCCTCTGAAGCTGTTATGAAATTGATGGTATATCTTACAGTCGGTGGTACATGAAAATCAACATTTAAAACAAATGAGCAGACTAGAACTTTGCTACAAGAGGGACCACTCAGCCATCCTGCCATCTTTTTGTTTTTAAGGCTAGAACTTTATTCCTTGAAGTAAAAGTACTTGTCCTGAGAAGAATTTCAGGTGTTAAGAGATTTGTTAGAAGATTAGTGTCCTGAATGTACTGTTATGTATTAGAAATTAAAGATAGTTTTCAAAGAACCATTATAATGGTATAGCAGTGATTTTTCTAATTCAGATTTAGCCAGCTTTCATTGTCTTCAAAAATAAATCCAGTAGGAATTTATAAGATGTTGATTGTTATATGTGTATGGTCAGTAAATATTTAACAAATCCCAGGTAAGGCAGTTCACAGTGCCTTCATCATTTGTAATAAATTCCACATTTAAGTGAAATTAGATGACTATTGGCATATAATAAAAACTTATTTTTATATTGAGTCCCAATCAGTGATTTTTTTTTTCAGACAACAACAAGACATAAAGTACTTATTATGGAATTTTGTCCATGCGGAAGTTTATACACTGTTTTAGAAGAGCCATCTAATGCCTATGGACTACCAGAGTCTGAATTTTTAATTGTTTTGCGAGACGTGGGTACGTTTGTTTACATGATTTTATAGATCTGTGTAAATACAATTTAATCATACAAGAATTTTTAAAAAGTAATCTCCTATTCAAAACCAAAGACCTTTATGCAGTGCTCTCTTAGATCTGACCCTAAGAGCACAAGTACAAAAAGAAAAAAATAGATAAATTGGAACTTCATCAACATTAAAAACTTTGTGTTTCAAAGGACAACATGAAGTAAGTGAAAAAACAACCCATAGAATGAGAGGTAATATTTGCAAATCATGTATCTGATAAGGAACTTTTTTTTTTCCAACGTAATACTTAATTTTATTTGTTTTAATTTACATCCAAATTAGCTTATAGTGCAACAATGATTTCAAGAGTAGATTCCTTAATGCCCCTTACTCATTTAGCCCATCCCCCCTCCCACACCTTCTCCAGTAACCCTGTTTGTTCTCCATATTTATTAGTCTCTTATGCTTTATCCCCCTCCCTGTTTTTATATTATTTTTGTTTCCCTTCCCTTATGTTCATCTGTTTTGTCTCTTAAAGTCCTCATATGAGTGAAGTCATAGGATATTTGTCTTTCTCTGACTAATTTCACTCAGCATAATACCCTCTAGTTCCATCCATGTAGTTGCGAACGGCAAGATTTCATTCTTTTTGATCGCCGAATAATACTCTATTGTATGTATACATATATATACCACATCTTCTTTATCCATTCATCCATTGATGGACATTTTGGCTCTTTCCATACTTTGGCTATTGTTGATAGTGCTGCTATAAACATGGGGGTGCACATGTCCCTTCAAAACAGCACACCTGTATCCTTTGGATAAGTATCTAGTAGTGCAATTGCTGGGTCCTAAGGTAGTTCTATTTTTAGTTTTTTGAGGAACCTCCATACTGTTTTCCAGAGTGGCTGCACCAGCTTGCATTCCCACCAACAGTGCAAAAGAGATCCTCTCTCTCCACATCCTTGCCAACATCTGTTGTGCCTGAGTTGTTAATGTTAGCCATTCTGACAGGTGTGAGGTGGTATCTCATTGTGGTTTTGATTTGTATTTCCCTGATGATGAGTGATGTTGAGCATTTTTTCATGTGTCGGTTGGCCATCTGGATGTCTTCTTTGGAGAAGTGTCTATTCATGTCTTTTGCCTGTTTCTTCACTGGATAATTTGTTTTTTGGGTGTTGAGTTTGATAAGTTCTTTATAGATTTTGGATACTAACCCTTTATCTGATAATGTCGTTTGCAAATATCTTCTCCCATTCTGTCGGTTGCGTTTTAGTTTTGCTGATTGTTTCCTTCTCTGTCCAGAAGCTTTTTGTTTTGATGAGGTCCCAATAAGGAACTTTTATTCTGACAACTTAATAGAAAGACAAATAGCCCAATTTAAAAATGAGCAATGGAGAAAAATAAGTAAGTAGGGAAATGCAAATCAAAACCACAAAGTGATGCCACTTCATACCCAATAGCATAGCCAAAATCAAAAAGACAAAACAAAAGTGTTGGCAAGGATGTGAAGAAGTTGGAGCACTTTATATAGCTGGTGGGATGTAAAAAGGTGCAGCCACTTTGGAAAACAGTCTAGCAGTTCCTTCAAAGATTAAATATATGACTTAGCAATTCCATTGCTAGATATTTACTTAAAAGAATTAAAAACATATCCACACAAAAACTTGGACACGAGTGTTCATAATAGTCACAAAATGGAAAGACCCCAAGTATCCATCAACTGATGAATAAACAAAATGTGGTATATCTATACAATGGCATATTATCTGTTCATAAAAAAGACATAGGGGTGCCTGGCTGGCTCAGGTGATAGACCATGCGACTCTTGATCTTGGGGTTATGAGTTCAAGCCCCACGTTGGGCCTAGAGCTTACGTTAAAAAAACAGAGAGATATAGTAGTGATACATGCTGTAACATGGATACATTTTGCTAAGTGAAGGAAGGCAGACAACAAAAGGTCACAATATTTATATGATTTCATTTATATGAAATGTCCAGAATAGGCAAATCCATAGAGACAGCAGATTAGTCATTGCCAGAGGTTTGAGGGGACGACAGAGTTGAGGAGTAACTGCTAATGGTGTGGGGTTTTTTTTGACATAATGAAAATGTTCTGAAACTAGTGATGGTTGTTTGACTTTGACTCTTCTGAAAACTACTCAGTTGTATACTTTAAAAGGCTGAATTTTATATGTGAATTTTACCTCAAGAAAGCTATTTTAAAAATATAAATAAATATAAATATATAAATATATATACATAGCAACTGAAGAGAATAATATCTTCTTGGAGAGAAATGAATCAGTATTTGAGGAATGAGTAAAGCCCAGTGATAAAGAAGGCATAAGGTTAGTGGGAGTTCTTGAACTTGGCATTGGAAGCAGTGTAGAGATTCTTTCCGTGAGGATAAAATGAGAGAAAATCTATGCTGCAGCCTGTTTAACCTAGTAGAAGTTATAGATAATCGATGACTTCCCAAGTATACTGGTAGCCCTGAGTTTTCATAATGAAATGTGATACCTCTAAACTTATTTTCATAGGTTATATTTGGGCATTCATCTGTCAGCTGTCAGATGTTTCAAACTAGCATTTAGGGGCACTGCCTACCGCCCAAAACAGGTTAATTTCAGCATTGTAGCCACCTCTACCCTTAAAAAAAAAAAGGAAAATGGCCTTTTTAGAATAGCTTTAAGCATATGAGAAATATTATTCTTGGAAGCTAGTCTGACACTTTGCCTCTGTTACTTTTTTACTGTTTTATGTATTGAGTCCAGTTTACTTTTTTATGGAATTCTTTCCCCAAGGTAAAGAAATATGAAACTATGATGAAAGATTGGTATCTTTCTCAGGAATCATTATTCTTAAGTTTAGGCAGATTGCCCACATGTATGTAATCAAAAGTAATTCAGGAAATCATATGCTTAAGATCATTTTGTTCCATTTTCCTGATAATATTTAATTAAGAGAGATTGCACTCTTCCTTAGGCCATATTGATCCTTATTCTAAAACTTTTTATTACTCAAATATGAGATAACATAAACATAAATACTGTCTATTTCTTCTTTGGTAAAAATGACTTTGGACCAACTTATGGAAAAACATATTGAGTGAATATGAGTGAATGATGTCAGTGAATTTGATGCACACACACATAGATGCCTACATTATGATTTCCTTTGTTTTATTAAGTGGGTGGAATGAACCATCTACGAGAGAATGGCATAGTGCACCGTGATATCAAGCCAGGAAACATCATGCGTGTTATAGGGGAAGATGGACAGTCTGTGTACAAACTCACAGATTTTGGTGCAGCTAGAGAATTAGAAGATGATGAACAGTTTGTTTCTTTGTATGGCACAGAAGAATATTTGGTAAGTCATGCATCAGTAATTTATTTAAAGATGAATAGGTTATAAATACAGGTAACTGGTTAACCAGTTTACTATAAAATGTCTTAGTAACTTTTAGGACAAAACTTAAACTTTTTATTCTAATGAATTTGGTGTGTAATGAGGGAATTAGATATTGGCTTCTAAGGATGCTGTTATTTTTCTGTTGAAAATTCTTACATGAGTTTTAGGGGCACCTGGGTGGCTCAGTTGATTAAGCGTCTGACTTTGGCTCAGGTCATGATCTCACGGTTCATGAGTTCGACCCCCACGTCAATCTCTGCGCTGACAGCAGAGTCGACTTGGGATTCTCTCTCTCTCCTTCTCTGCCCCTTCCTCACTTGTGCATTCTCTCTCTCTCAAAATAAAGAAATAAACTTAAAAAAAATTCTTGTAAGTTTTTAACACTCTTAGGTTCTTTAATTTACTAATGCTGTAGATCTATATTAAAAGAAAAAAGCTGTATGTACACTTAAGAAGCATCTAGCTAGTAAATGCTCCTTTTTTTGGATCAGAGCAGTTAATATATTACAAGCTTGTTATAATATCCCCTGTAGAGCAAAATTCATTATAATTTTGAAGCAGAAGATTCTATTCAGGGAGATTGGTTATTGAAAGACAGGACCATTAATAGAAGCACACAAAAATGAAATGTTTTTGAAAAGATCTAACTTAAACTTCTAGAAAGCTAGAAAAGCCCTGTGTTGAAACTGTTTGTGTTGGTGTGTTTGTGTGAAATTAGTATAACGTTTGGAAAAGTTAAGAAAATATACTTTAAAGTAAGTACATTTACTTTTTTGAGCAACCGCCATACTATTTTCCACAGTGTACCAATTTACTATCCCACCAACAGTACCTGAGGGTTCCCCTTTCTCCACATCCTTGCCAACATTTATTATTTCCTCTTTTTTTAATGTTTATTTTGGGGAGACAGAGAGAGCATGTGCACATGCATGCAAGAGGTTGAGGGGGGAGAGACAGAATCTGAAGCAGGTTCTGCACTCACAAACTGTGAGATAATGACCTAAGCAGCTGGACATTTAACCGAGGGAGCCACCCAGGCCCTTTGTTATTTCTTCTCTTTTTATACTAGCCATTCTGACTGGTAGGAGGTGATAATCTCCTGGTTTTGATTTGCATTTCCCTGATGATTTGTGGTGTTGAGCATCTTTTCATGTGACCATTGGCCATATGTATGTCTTCTTCAGGAAAATGTTTTTTCAGGTCCCTTGCCCATTTATTAATTGGATTGTTTTTGGGTTTTTGGTGTTGAGCTGTAGGAGTTTTTTTGTTTTTTGATTTTTGTTTTTAAGATTTTAAGTAACCTCTCTACATTCAACCTGGGGCTCAAACTCACAACCCTGAGATCAAGAGTCGTATGCTCCACCAACTGAGCCAGCTGGGCACCCCCATATGAGTTCTTCATATGTCTTGGATATTAGCCCTTTACCAGAGATATCATTTGCAATTACCTTCTCCCATTCAGTAGGTTGCCTTTAACGATTTGTTGGTGGTTTCCTTTGTTGTGCAAAGCTTTTTATTTTCGTGTTTATTTTTGCTTTCATTTCCTTTGTGGTAACTACACTTACTGTGGTGAGTTTTATGTAATGTATAGAATTGTTGAATCAGTATGTTACACACCTGAAACTAATATAACAATGTATATCAATTATATTTCACTAATAAAAATTTAAAACAAAAAGTACGTTTGACATGTAATCAGGAAGTTTATAATATATAGCTATCACTAACTGCTCATAGCTCTGGACTTTATCTTAAAAGTCTTAGATTATGGGAGCACTTCACTGGCTCAGTCAGTAGAGCATCTGACTCTTGATCTTGAGGTCATGAGTTTGAGCCCCCTGTTGGATATACAGATTATTTTTTAAAAAATTTTTTTTTCAACGTTTTTATTTATTTTTGGGACAGAGAGAGACAGAGCATGAACGGGGGAGGGGCAGAGAGAGAGGGAGACACAGAATCGGAAACAGGCTCCAGGCTCTGAGCCATCAGCCCAGAGCCTGACGCGGGGCTCGAACTCACGGACCGCGAGATCGTGACCTGGCTGAAGTCGGACGCTTAACCGACTGCGCCACCCAGGCGCCCCAAGATTACTTTAAAAAAAAAGTCTTGGTTTCTGTGACTTTTTTCCAATTAGATTCTGCCATTGTAATTTATAACATGGAGAATAAAATCTAACTGCCCCTATAGGTTTATTCATATTATTCTAAGTCTGCCCTGAATTTAGTGTCTTAAGTTGTTTGGTATATACTGTTATATATAACAGTATATAACCCCAAATTAATTTTTAGTTATATTTTGATAATCTTCTAATACAAAAACTTACAAATGGATTAGATTCATCCAACAAATATCTATGGGGTGCCTACTATGTGCCAGGCAGTGTTGTAGGCTCTGGAACTTCAGCCGTGAACTGCATGCACACGATTCCTGCTCCTAGGGAACCCACATTCTAGTGGGGAAATAGTTAATAATTAAATAAGTAAATAAGATAAATTCAGATAATTAAAGTGTTGGGAAGACAATAAGGTAGTAAGATTAACAACAACTAGCAGGAGAAAGATAGCTAGGGAAAGCCTCCTTTCAATCCTAAGTGATACTTAGATGATTAAAAAGAAGCAAGCCATGCAAAGATTTGGGGGAAAAGCATGACAAGCAGAGGGAACCAGGAACTGCAAAGCCTTAGAAACAAGAATGACCTTGGAAGTTTGAGAAACAGAAAGGATGGCAGTTTGGCAGAATTTAATGAGTGAAGGGGCAGGGGGTAGGAGTTGAATTTGGAGATATAAGCAGAGGCCAGCCAGAACATCAGAACATACAACCTAGTGGTTTCAACTCTGTATGACACCTCTCTCTCTCTCTCTCTGTCTCTCTCTCTCTCTCTCTTTAAGAGAGTGAGCACACACACCAGCAGGGGAGAGGGGCAGAGACAGGGAAGAAAGGCGAGGGGGAGAGAGAGAGAGAAGAATGAATGTTAAGCAGGCTCCATGTTTAGCCTGGAGCCCAACGCAGGGCTCAATCCCACAACACTGGGATCATGACCTGAGCCAAAATCAAAAGTCGGACACACTCAACCACCCGAGCCATCCAGGCGCCCCAGTCACTTCCTTTTTGTAGCAAATGTTTTGCAGTGTTCCCTTCAGTGTCTTGAAATGAAATTCTTAGATATAATCAACTTGTATGCCTAATTAAGAGAATGACATATCACCTCAATAATAATATAAAAGAAAATATTTATAATAAATATCAGAGATATTTAATATATAAAAGTTTAGGAATAACTTTACTGACAAATAATCCAATGCTTACACTTGCACGTATCATTTCCAGCGCAAGTGCAGTGATAACTTGTATGTTCTGTTAATGAGTCCCACATCACAAGGGGTGGTGTCACTGACAGGATTTTCCAAACCAGTGAATAATTCTTAGTATTTTGTAACTAAACAAAATAGATTTACATAAAGGTACATTCTTGTAGCCACAAAATACTTTGTGTACAAAAATATTTTACATTTATTTATAAGATGGAGTAATAGACTTACCACCTCCACAAATGTCTGGCAGAATATTCAGAAGTCATGCTGGATATCAGAAGCTTAGTTTTCAGAACTGTTCCCTAGTCAGCAGGATGTCTTTCCCATCTAGTCTCTGCCCACTAAATACCAGTAGCCCTTCCCGGTAACTGTGATGAGCAAAACAAACAGCCGTTACGCACCAGCCTTCATGAAGCTGATCGTCCACTATCAACTATTAATGTTTCACATATCCTAGGATCATTGTTTAACTTTTGCCTCTTAACAGACTTTTAAAATGGAAAAAAACAAAACATTAAATTAACTCCCAAGTTCATGCTGTACTCTAGGCTGAAATTTTACTCTAATCTATTTCCTATTTCAGATTATGCCCAGCCCTATTTTCATATACAGCATACCAGAAGTTATAAAAAGAGATAAATAATAGCCTGAAGCTCAGCAATCTAGAAGTATTTATATTTAAATGAAAGTTTTTCTCATTTCGGAATTCCTAGACCAGACGTTAAATCTTCTCCCCTTTGTTTGTAAAAGTCCAAAGAAAATTTCAACATTCTTTCTTCCACCATTTTCAATATGATGGCTATCTTTTTTTTTCTTTTTTAAAAAAATATTTATTTATTTTGAGAGAGAGTACATGCACACAAGCTGGGGAGGGGCAGAGAGAGAATCCCAAGCAGGCTCCATGCTGTCAGCACAGACAGAGCTCGACGTGGGGCATGATCCCACAAACCGTGAGATCATGGCCTGAGCCAAAATCAAGAGTCGGATGCTTAACCGACTGAGCCATCCAGACGCCCCTGTTATGGATATCTTAATAATGTAACCTGAGAGCTTTACAGTAGCTTTCTTCTCATGTTCTTATTCCAGATGTGGAGGCCCAGGCCCAACAATATGAAGCCCTACACAAACACAAGTAGCACATTCAGGAGAGAGTCAATGAGCAGAGCTCATGTGTAACCAGCATATATTAAGCCAGTATTAGTCACTCTGTGGGAGAATTATATTATTTATTGCCCCTTTTGTGGAAATTTCCCTGTCTCCTTCTAGAATCACTGTATCGTCTCTTCCCAGCTTGGCCTCGTGTGGTAGGGGATATCAGGCATACACAGGTGCTCTTGGTCTGTTCACATCACCATTTAACACTGAGTACCAGCTACTGTGTCAAAGGTCTGGCTGGTGCTTCTTTGGATAGTATAGTAGTTTATATGCTGTGCCACGGAACCAGCAAAACCACTGAGACCCCATATATCTGGTAGACATCTGTTTAGACACTCACTTCAAACCCCTCATGCTAATCACCTCTTGATTCTCGTTAAAATGTATTTCCCAAAAGAGTGATTCCCCCATCCCCACCTCCCACCCTGCTATACACACAGAAAATCCAGGGATGGTGACCCTTTGGAGTCATATTCACAGACCACATCATTTAGAAGCACCCTCCCCATAGTGTTTGTTACCTGCATTCATTCCCAGTCTCTTAGGCCACAGCCACATGCCACAGTGTCGTAAGGCATTTGTTTTGATTTGGATGATGACTCTACTTTGGTCCTGAGTACACTCTTGTAGCTTTATCTTCCAAGAATTTTAAAGTTTCGGTGTGTAACTTCTGTGAAGGCAGATGTCAGGAGGCTAAGCAAGTATGACTTCTGGTTGTACTCTGCAGAACTAAATGTCCGTCAGAATCTCTGTCTAGACCTGTAAGCTGCTAAGCCATGTCATACAAGATTTATTGTACTCCAGGGGTGCCTGGGTGGCTCAGTCGTTTAAGCGTCTAACTTCAGCTGAGGTCATGATCTTGAGGTTTGTGGCTTTCAGCCCCACGTCGGGCTCTGTGCTGACAGCTCACAGCCTGGAGCCTGCTTTGGACTCGGTGTCTCCCTCTCTCTCTGCCCCTCCCCTGCTCACACTCTCTCTCTCTCTCTCTCTCTCTCTGTCTCAAAAACAAGTAAACATAGGGGCGCCTGGGTGGCTCAGTTGGTTGGGTGTCTGACTTCGGCTCAGGTCATGATCTCCCGGTTCATGGGTTCAAGCTCTGTGCTGATGGCTCAGAGCCTGGAGCCTGCTTTGGATTCTGTCTCCCTCTCTCTCTGCCCCTCCTTCACTTGCACTGTGTCTCTTTCTCACTCTCAAAAATAAACATTTAAAAAATTAACATAAATAAACAAACATTAAAAAAAATTGCAGGGCGGGGGGACGCCTGGGTGGCTCAATCAGTTGAGCATCCGACTTCAGCTCAGGTCATGATCTCAGGGCTTGTGGGTTCAAGCCCCGCAATGGGCTCTGTGCTGACAGCTCAGAACCTGGAGTCTGCTTCCGTTTCTCTGTCTCCCTGTCTCTCTGCCCCTCCCCCACTCACGCTGTCTTTCTCTGTCTCTCAAAAATAAACATTAAAAACAAATTTTTTTTTAATTAAAAAGAATTGATCTGTACTCCATACATCTGTAGTGTAGCATCTTCTGGACTTAAAGTCATGTGTTTAACATCATACTAGTTACTTGTCTGGCCTACTAGATCCCCAATCAACCCAGTCAGACTAGTCCTCTGAAATAATTCTAAAAAATTTAATTTTTATCTTGGAGTCCTTATGACTTGCTCTGATGGATTGCATTTAAGAGGTGAGAAAAAAGGAGTCAAGGCCACCTGATAGGTTTGGGGAATAAGTAACTGGATACGTGGTGGTACAGCTTACTTAGGGGATAAAGATTAGTAAGAAACCGGTTTGAGAGCAAGACCAAGAAGAGTCTATTTTGGACATGTGAAGTTTGAGCTACTTATTTTTTTAATGTTCATTTACTTTTGAGACACAAAGCGTGAGTGGGGGAGGGGTAGAGAGAGAGAGGGAGACAGAGGATGGAAAGCAGGCTCTGTACTGATAGCAGCGAGCCCGATGGCAGGGCTCGAACTCACAATCTGAAAGATCATGACCTGAGCTGACATCAGACACTCAACACACTGAGCCACCCAGGCACCCCAAGTTTGAGCTACTTTTTAGACATTCAGGAAAACAGTAGAATATGTGAATCTGGAGCTCAGGGCAGGAAATAGTTTTGGGAGTTAAAGTATATGGGTAATTAATACCATAGGCCTCCTTGGGAGATGAGGAAATAAGGTAGTTATAAGTGTGGACAGCTACTTTGAGAAGTTTTGCTATCGTGGGAAAGAGAATTGGGTCATAGCTAGAAAGGGTCGTGAGGTCAATTTAGGTTTTTAAAAAATAGGAGATCTTAAAACATGTTATGTAAGCTAAAAGGACTGATCCAGTAGGAGGAAATTGATGCATAAAATAAAAAGGGTAATTGCAGGAATTGATTTCTGGAATTGGTGAGACATTAGTAGTATGGGTTCCGTAGCACAGATGGAAAAGTTAGCCCTTGATAGGACTAGTTCCATCATAACTGGAAAGTAGGCCTAGAGTCTAGACACAGATTCAGGAAGGTTGGTGTTTGGTAAAAAGCATGAGGGAGAATTGATCTCTTTTTTCTTACATTTCCTCATTGAAAGACAAAGTGAGGTCATTGAAATTGAGAGTCAAAAGAGGGTGGTGTTGGAGGTTTGAGGAGGGAAAAGACGACATGAAGTAGTCTTTTCAGATTGGGAAAGTGAAATTATTAGGGAAATTTGAAGGACTTTGTAAGCATTATTAAATACCCATTTGTGTGTAATGTATTACCATAGAACACAAGTTAGTTCCTTCATCCTTTTTTTTAAGCATCCTGATATGTATGAGAGAGCAGTGCTAAGAAAAGATCATCAGAAGAAATACGGAGCAACAGTTGATCTTTGGAGCATTGGGGTAACGTTTTACCATGCAGCTACTGGATCACTGCCGTTCAGACCATTTGAAGGGCCACGTAGGAATAAGGAAGTGATGTAAGTGATTTCTCCATCTAAAATTAGAAATAATTTTTAAAGTGTATTTTTGCTTTATTTTGTTTTGTCATATGTTAGAGGTATATGCTAATGAAAATTGATTTAGCCATCATTTCTGATATTTTAAGCTATTTGGTTTTGAATAAGAGTGCAGCCTTATAAAGTTGCATAGGCATAATTTTTCTTATTGTGTTAAAATATCTTATGTACAAAGTGTAAATGGCATCCAGTCTTTGGCCCATCATTAAAAATACACTGCTTTCTGGATTATATTTCAGAAATGTTATATATGTTTATTTCTTTTTGTGTACTACTTATCAGGGATTTTCTTTTATGTAACTGAAAAAAAATTGTACTTCTGTGGAGTACCAGATGTAAAAGAAATAAAATTTTTACCCTGAACTGATCTGATTTCTTTTACCATTTCAAAAATAACATTTAATATACTATCAAATTTTTTTCTAATGTTGTGGTTTCAGTCCAAAGACTGAATGCATTTTACTAGTACATGATACCTTTATGTTTTGCCATAATTATTAGAAAATAGTTGCTGTGTGTAAAATCACTGTTGTAAACCAGATAATGGAGGAAAAGAGATGGAATTCTAGATGTGAAATTTATTATATAACATCTGTACACTGACCACACACCTTTTTATTGTGAGAGAAATTAGCGAATGACCTTGCTCCTGAGAAATAGCCATTCCACGTACACATAAACTTACGAGGTTATGAATGTTGTTTAGAGAATGTTTGGGGACAGTAACTCACTGACAGCCCAGTGTATACAATCATTCTTTAAATCTTACCTTTTCCCTCAGACCTTTATATTTGACCAGGCTTTTTGTAAGCAAACACGACTTAAATAATCACAACTGTAAAAATACAGTCTTTAATCTTATCTCAGGAAATTGAGGGAGAAGCATATTTTTCTGTTTGTTGATTTCAGGAGGTAAAACCAGCTGATATAATGACTTTTGCTAAAACCTGGACATCTACCTGTTTTCAGCAAGGACAGAGCACCTCTTCATGGGAAGAAGACATCCATTACTATAGTGATGATTTTGGTGTAACATCATTTTGAGCCTGCTTTGCAGCAGCGTCCATTTTGTAAAATCTCTTCATTAATGAAGGCTGAGAGTAAATTCGTGTTTTTCTCATTGAACATAAGTTGTGCCTAACAGTTTACCATGTTTTTATTGTCGTACATACATTTTAAAGCATTTGAGGCATTTCTTGCTGTCCTAAAAATGGATTAAATAAAAGCATGATGTTCCTTAATAAAGGAAACATGTGACCCATCAGCAACTAGAAATACCTGATAACTTTGTCATCATGTGCACAGATACACCATTAGAAGAGTTTTCTTTCTTTATATGCACAGAAACTCTGGTTTTGGGGAACACTGATAAAATGAACGTTGAGAGGTGCTTGAAGTAGTAATAACACCTGTTTTACTATCAAAGGATGTATCTGCCTCACATTATAGCTGTGTTGCCCCCTCAGTGTCTCATTTACATGTTGTCAATGTACTTTTATATGGATCTTATCAACATTAGTAAAGCTTTTCTAAGAATGTTAAGCACTCCTTTAAGGATTCTGTTTTCATTCTATTCATTTCTTTTTTCTTGCATAAACTCACATATCTCTACTTACTCCTCCACAATCAGGCCTTTCTCATGTGAATGTACCTTATTTTTCACATTAATTTCCTTCTTCTGTGAAAACTCTGTTAAGGCAGAAACCCCACCAGCTGCCTCTTTAGGAAAGAGGCAAGTGATCCAAATCAGTGGTACTACTGGTTTGTTGTACTTTTTAGAGAAAAAATGATTTTTCTCAGAGCACATTTATGTAGACGTTAAACAAACAAAAAATTATACCCAAAATAATATCTATAAATTCATCGAAGACAGCTGTATTAGGTTTCACATTTTCACCTGGATGAAAGTATTCCAGAAGGCATGAACTTTTATTTCTCTCTCACTCTCAGGTTTTGTTTAGGAAAGTGCTGAAACCTAAGAGGCTGCTTATTGACTTGCTGCATCTTTTATAGTATTCGTTTGCTTCCCCATCCATCTCTTTCTTCTGGTCATCTTTATTTTTATCGCCTACCTCAAGGATCAAATTCAATTTGGCTTTTAATTTTGGTACACACACCTATTCCTGTATGTGTATATATTTTTTCAATATGCAAAGAATCTTTCTGATACTATGCTGTGTATAGTTTTGTCTTCTTTAAAAAAAAATCAGGCTGTTGTTCATTCTGCAGTAATTTCACAGTCCAATTGACTGCCTGTGGATAATTTGGGTAAAAGGGATTTTAATGGCCTAGAGATATTCTGTAACATAACTTTTTTTGTGTTTGCTCGATTTTTTCAGATGGAAAAAGTTAATATTTTTGTTGTGAACATCAAGCTGCTGTTATATGGCACTCTGAGATCCCAATGAAAATTAATTATGGCATATATAAAATAATCGTACAACCACTATTCTACTTCAGTCAGTCAGATTCAAAGTATTTTGATTGTTTTATGGATCCTGTGAACATCAATCACAAAGTTTCGTCTAGTAGATAATTGTAGGTGCAACTGAGGAAATATTTTTGCAAAGCCCATTGGTAGGCTCTGCAATGAGGAACTGCTTAATTTATTCTCCATCTATTCCTCCCAAGGTACAAAATAATTACTGGAAAGCCTTCTGGTGCAATATCTGGAGTACAGAAAGCAGAAAATGGACCCATCGACTGGAGTGGAGACATGCCTATTTCTTGCAGTCTTTCTCGGTCAGTGTGGTGTATGCAGCTCTTCTTTTTTTGCACTTTGGTGTTTGGGATCTTCATTGAGTAAAGTCACAGATACTGAAGTGTAGTTTGGTTTGGGGTTTTTTTGTTTGTATGTTGTTGTTGTTTTTAAGATTTTACTATGTTTTAGATGTGCTTTGGTAGGTGATTTTAGTCTTTGTGGCAATGTAAAGATAGATTCTGATCTATATGCATAATTTTGCCAGAGGTCTGTTAGGGCAGAAGGCATACATTTTCAGGATTGCTAATCATTAGTCTTAGAATTCTGTCCAGTGTAGGAATCCAGCTTAGGGACCTTTGTATCTTTTATATTGATCATCCATATTTTTTTTTTAATTTTTTTTTTTTTTTCAACGTTTATTTATTTTTGGGACAGAGAGAGACAGAGCATGAACGGGGGAGGGGCAGAGAGAGAGGGAGACACAGAATCGGAAACAGGTTCCAGGCTCCGAGCCATCAGCCCAGAGCCCGACGCGGGGCTCGAACCCACGGACCGCGAGATCGTGACCTGGCTGAAGTCGGACACTTAACCGACTGCGCCACCCAGGCGCCCCTTGATCATCCATATTGATGGACCACAAATGGTGATACAGATAGGAATAACTAGAGTTGTAAAAAACAAACCCTCAAGAAGTTTATTTAGTTTTGTTTAATTTTTTTATTTTGGAGAGAGAGAGTGAGTGGCGGAGAGGGGCAGAGGCAGAGAGAGAGAGAGAGAGAGAGAGAGAGAGAGAGAGAATCTTAAGCAGGCTCTGTGCTCAATACAGAGCCTGATGTCAGGCTCGATCTCATGACCCTCAGATCATGACAGAGCTGGAAGCAAGAGTGGACCCTTAACCTACTGAGCCACCCAGGTGCCCCAAACACTCGAGAAATTTAGTATTATCTTCATTTTTAAAAAATATTCATATTATTGAAAAGGTAAGAATTAATAGTTTTCTACTACATTTTTCAGCATTGCAAATGTTCAGATGGGTCTTTTTTAACTTAGTAGCCAGAACTCAGAAACGTTATTATTGTCAGACATGAATTCTGTTATCACAAAGAAAAATTTAAGGAGAAGGAAATTAAAAGTAGAGAGTAAATTATTTTAGATTTTACTCTGGAAATAAAGCCAAAACACTCATCAATATTCAGAATTTCTGATTCCTGGGGCTCCTGGGTGGCTCAGTCAATTAAGCATCCATCTCTTGATTTTGGCTCAGGTCATGATCTCATAGTTCATAAGATCAAGCCTTGCATCAAGCTCCACACTGACAGTGTGGGGCCTGCTTGGGATTCTGTCTCACCCTCCCTCTCTGCCCTTCTGCTGCTCATGCGTGCATGCACCCTGTTTCTCTCAGAAAGAAAGAGAGAGAGTGAGAAAGAAGAAAGAATTTCTGATTATTGAATTAACTTCCATTTTTCCTGAGTATGGCAATTATATAATCCACAAGTAATACAGGTTATGATTTACTGGCTTAACTACCTATTATAATTTGTGGGTGCTTTTTGTATGATTTTCTACATATAAAAAAAAAGAAAGAATTTAAATATTTAATATTTTAAATATTGAATATTATTATTTAAATCATCTATATCATAAGCTAATAAAATATCACCTATCATTTTATATTTCAATGTCTGCGAAACTCATTTAAACTAAGAGTTCTAATTCTAAAATCATTTTTGAAAACTATTCTGACAGTTTCATTTTTGTGTGTTGTTTAAAGAAGTCTCCAAAACAAAATTGGGTCATGCAGCCAGCATTATGAAGAGACGTTCATTTCATTCGGGAACAGAAATTGCATATTGTCATAGTGATTTGTGTTAACTTTTGATTTAGAAAATACTCATTTTTGGGATCTCAGGCAAAACATAAAATGTAAAGGGGTCAGGAAGTGAACACTGGCTTTTTAATAATTGCTAAAACTTAGAATCAGTAATTTGACAATCTGAACTGTAGATTACATATTTCAGGAGGGTAGCAGGTCTTAACCTGCCTAATTAGTCTTGAGCATACCGAGTTATAAATTCTTTGATATAAATTGCTTAGGTAACAGAAAGCATATTATATAATCTTACGGGGTTTTTTTTAATAGTAAGGACTTCAAGTACTACAAATCAGCAGTGAAAACGACTATCAAAAATAAAGCAACTATAAAAAAAGATAACCATCACTTCTTATATGTATTAGCCAAGACTGATAACAAGGGAGAAAAACCTAAGTCAGCTGGTTTAAGTAAAGAAGGATATAGATTGGCCTTGTAATTAAAAGTATACATATGTATGTGACTCAAAGCCCAGCTGAATCCTTGGACTCAGACTGTGTCGTCAAGACTTGGTCTCTTCAAATTGTTCAGGTCTGCTTCTGTCTGATTTGTTTTTACTTTAGGTCAGCCACAAGGTGGCTGCTACCATTCCCAGACTCACACTCTCAAAGCTTTGAAAGCCCAGTGGGAAGACAGACTTTCTTGCCTGATAGTTTGAACAAAGACTTCTAGGTTGATTCTCACTTCACTAACCTGCATGCTATCACCTGCTCACCTCCAACTAATCATAATAACCATACCTGGCTGTCATGCCCATCTCTGCACAGGGAGATAGTAGAGGAGAGGTATGGATTCGCTTACAAAAGGAGGGAGAATAGATACCTGTTAGTCAAAACTTAAAATATCCACTACTAGGGCACCTGAGCAACTCAGTCGGTTGAACATTCGACTCTTGATTTCGGCTCAGGTCATGGCTCTAGGCCATGTGTGTTAGTCTCCACGCTGAACATGAAGCCTGCTTAAGATTCTCACTCCCTCCACTCCTCTCCCTGCCATCTGCCCCCTTCTCCCGCTTGTATGTGCACTCTCTTTCTCTCTGTCCAAAATAAAAAAAAAATAAGATCTCCACTACCTACTTTAAAAACTCTTAACAAAGATTTTTTCCAGTGTCTGCTATATAGTCAAGAATGTACTTTTTTTTACTTTTTTTTTTTAATGTTTATTTTTTATTTTTGAGAGAGAGAGAGCATAAGTAGGGGAGAGGCCGAGAGAGAAAGGGAGACAGAATCTGAAGCAGGCTCCAGGCTGTCAGCACAGAGCC